TGTGTACGTTCAATTAAATTATCACCTTTATTTATTGATTATACAATGTCGAATAAATCTAATTATCGAAATCAAACAGAAATAAAATCATCAACATTAGTGATTGATCAAAAACAGGTTTGAATAGCTGGTGATTTCGTTTTCTTTTTCATTGTGTATCGTAATTTATTCAAGTCAGATTAAATATTTTGATTTTAAACTATTTGTCTTCTTAATTTTTCTATAGGTTGAAATTAATTATGTGTTTTATTTTTTATTTTACAGTGATTTTTTTTTTGTTTGTTGTTCTTTTTCCTTTTAAATTGGATGATGATATTCAGTGAGGAAATAGAGATTTTAATCGTTATGTGCTCAATATCAATGTTGTATTGATTTGAATCTATGTCAAAGCGCAAGATATTTTACAGTATTGCTCTAAAATATAAGACCAATGAAATTTTTGATTTTTCTTTTTCTACAGTATTAAGTATTTAATTCAAAAGCGAATAATGATTTGAATAGCCAATGGAGTTTTCTATCAATGGCATTTCATACCAAAAGGAAGAAGTTCGAGGTGAACGATCAATTCGTCGCGAACAATATTGTTGCGATCAATATGTTGATATAGCTCTTAAGTAATTTTTTTTTCAAAGCTGTGAAATTGATCAATTAATTCATCTTTATTTTGTGTATTGTACTTAAACATGAGATAATGATGAACAAATTATATACAAAAAAAAAGAAAAAAGTAGCTTAAAGAGTAAGGTTAGCAGCGATATTTTTTAAGTATTGGTTAAGTTGAGATGAGTCGTATTCGTTGACCAGCCGAGCAATTCGTTCGTCCAATCTTCGATAACCGGCTTTCTTCGTCTTGATATCATGACCTTGGAGAATTTTCGTAATGTCAACTTCGAATTTCGACTGTTCACGACGAATTTTGTCTGTCAATTTCACGATGTTTGGATGATTTATCGAGACGCGAATGGGAAATGCATTGTGCCAGCCTCCCACCAAATTATTGGATCAAGGTATACCAGCGATTACACGATCATGAATATTCCATAATTTGTGATCGAATTGAGGTTTCTTCCGACCAGTTCCTAAGATTATCGAATGCATTTAAAATTTCTCCAGAATGAAGAAGAAAAATTACCTCTTCTTTTTGGTTCACCAATCCAAATTTTTTCAAAATAATCGAGTAAATCGTCGGCGTCATCGTCGAATTGATTGGCAATTAAGTCAAATGCAGTTTCATCTACTAGAACAAAAGCAAGAACAATTCATTTTTTTTACATTTAAACGAAAAGGCTCATCTTCTCTATATTTGGTTCCCAATTCTTTGTTTTGAACTTGTCGCCATACCGATTGTAAGAAATGAGAGACGTCCTATAACAAACGTTTTAATTATCTTTCTTTTTTTTGTGAATAGACTAGAACGTACCTTTGCGTAAAACATTTGGTAATATCTCTTTGACTAATTTGATTGTACCAGTTTCAAAATCAGTCATAATTGATTCAGGTTGAAAATTGTTTTGTTCAAATAATTTTTCGAAGAATGGATTGTAATCATCGCTGCTTTTACCAATTAACAAACCATAGACGAGAGGAATAATTGCATTCATCATCATTGCATGTAATGTAAAAAGTTGATAATAATCATCTGAACACACCTATATCAAAGATAATTAGAAAAAAAGATACACATTCAACTAATAGCTTATTTTAAATGTTTCATCAGCGAATCAATGTTTGTTTTGCTTCAGAATGGATGAATTATTTTTCGTTGTAAAGATAATTAAATGCTCGTCCTCGTGATAGATGAAATCTTCATCATGATATGTCTTTCTTAATTTTCCTGGTAAACGACCATCGACATCGACTGTTTCAGCAGTATGTTGTCGTCGAACTGTGAGTATAAGTGCGTCGCTTCTTGGCAATTGACCAGCAGCACTTATAGGGTATGTTCGTAAGGGCGAATGAAGAATTGAGCTGGATGATTCATCTGTTGTCGCAACACAAGCTTTAGTTTCATTCTTTAATTGGATAGCTGGAACACGATCAGGTTGTGGAGCATGACCATGAGATGTTGGTTGAGAGAGAAATGCGTCCATGGAAAAATTGGTATGACAACGTGCTTAATTGATAAATGATTTTCATTTTATTTAATTGATTGATGATATTCAAAGTGAATTTGCCTTTACAATCACGATTCTGACATCGAAAAATCAATTTCGTCGTTGTGATACGTTCTACAGTGTATATCTAACTTTCGTGTAGGAGCATTGGTTTTCCTTTTTCAGAAAGAATTTTCTGGATCCGAGACATTTTTTGGAAGTGTTGTGTGCAGTAAACGTTCAGATTGAGAAATGAAATATATTTTCAACAGCATCAGTATTTATTTTTTATCTCTCGGTCATATTACTAAGAACATTGGATCAGTGTTATCGTTGATCTAGATTATGTTGAAATTCATTAAACGATTGACAAAACTAATTATTTTTCGAACACTTTAGTTCTATCATGACTGCACATGATTGACGTGTTCTATTGATCCGTTTTTCCAATTAGAGTTATCATCTTCAGTACATCTTTCACATTATTTTATTTCGTTTTTTTTTATTCGGATTGGTTATACAAAAGAATTAATTAAGAGCGATATCGACATATTGATCGCAACGAATTGATCGCGACGAATTGTACTAGCGCCAAAGTTCGATAGCTGAGACAATCGGCTTCCTACAGAAATATGATTTGTAACACAGATTGATTGAAGCAGTCAATGACCGTCATATGTGTGTTGAATCCGACTGTTGAATGATAATTAGCACTTTTCAAACGATTCGAAACGATATAAAAATATCTAGGAAACAGTATTGACCATAGAAAGAAATCTCAAAGAGACTGTACTTGAGACATGATTTAATAATTCGTTGTTTTGCCTGATATTTAGTAGACTTCCATTAGAGAAATACGATTTGGATAAAAACTAATATGATTTTCTGGATCAGTTTCTAAAACTGAGTGTACCAGAATATATCTCAAATCGTTTCGCAACTTGTTTTTCGTCGAAAATTTCACCCCTGGTCTTCCCAAAAGATTAAGTTACAAAACTCAATTTGATCGAAACACTATGTTGACAATGGGAATAAGGTTTTAAGGTTATAAAACAATTGTAGAACTTTAAATCGCAGACGAATAATCAATTAAAACAGTTTTCAAGAAATTAATCTTTTATTCAAACCTGAGGAGAACAAGACTGAAGTTTTCGACGAAAAACAAACGGTTGCAGAAATTTGTGAAATATAAGTAACTTAAGTCTATTCAATTTTGGATGCTGATTCAGAGTATTATATTCTTCTAATCGAAATCTACTAAATATCACCAAACAAAAGTCATAAAATCATGCCTCGAGAATAGTCTCCTTGTAATATCTTCGCACGCTTAGTGTTTCTTGTTTGATTTTTTGATACTATTTTGAATCGCTTCAAAATTTCTATCAAACTATATTAAAAAAGCCTCGTTGATCATTATATGGGTAGATAAAAAATGTTGGATATCATCTATAATCGAGTTCCAAGTACATGTGACGACTATTGGCTATTTCAATCGACCTGTGCACAACACAAATAGGTACTATATGACTAATTCTATTAGATCTCACTCTTGGACACCTCGTGTAATAGTTAGCCATAAAAGAAACCGAATTTCTCGAGAAAGCCATTTTCAACAGTTATCCGTCTCTCACTTTTTATAGATAAACTATGACAAGAAGGTTGTGTGAAATCAGTTTTGAAGTGTACAAAATCCTCAATACAGTAAGGGATCACCGTGTTTCCTGTAATGATTCCTGGGAAAGTTACATGCATCACAAAGCGATATTTTATCATAGTTTTACTTAAAAAGAGGCATTTCGTTTTTTATGATACTTGTAATTTTTTAAGAGAAGGCCATAGGAAATGCCGCAGCCCCTCGTTTTATTCAGGATTTTGTGCTCTTGAAAAGTTAATTTCACCTAATCTTTTCAGACCTGAAAACTATTGTGTTTGATTTTCCAGAAACCTTTCCTCTCATAGTACGCCTATGAAATTTTGGTATGGAATGCATTTTATACGGAAATTCGTTGAGGCAGTTTTACACGGTTATAAATGATATGCTTCTCAATGAAGAAGTGTTGAGCCAGCCTTGATCTTGACAAGACCGGAATCATCTTGCCAATATCTACTGCTAACTGAAACGAAAATATCAGAAGTAATTATCTTTCTATACAAAAGACTTATTCATAGGTTTTCATATAATTGCTTAAGATTCAACTTGGTTTTGTATATTTTCTTATTGTTTAAGATTTCTGTTAAAATTGAAAAACAAAATTTGACTGAGCAATCTAGGTTAGACTTTGAACATATTTTCTTTCTATATAACTGTCTTTTTTTGTTAATTTGATACAATTATGCATCCCTACTGTATTTATGCTGTTGAATGGTGGTCCAAAGGTAGTCGAGTATTCATATGAGAAAAGACACTATTACATAACTTTTTATAAGAAACTTCTTTGAACGCTCCTTTTTGTGACGTGAACTAAAATATTGTCTAGTATTGATTAAATTGTAAATGATACTGTTATCTACATTTAACGAAATTATAGAAATCAAAATATGCATAAGATAAATCGGTAATTAGCTTAATTGAGATGATCATTGGTTTTTTATAAATTTGAATAACTTCGGATTAAGTTTATGAAATAATGATTGTCATGAATTGAATTGATTCATCAAAACTTGATCTATTGTGAACATTACGATATGCTCGACATCTAAAACTCATTCTTTTGAAACTCTATTTTGCAATAGCTTGAAGTTCTTAGAACATATGTAAAGAAAAATGTTGATTAATTCATCGAAAGAAATTACTTTTCTTTTCATGTTATTAAAACAAAATGTTTTAATGTTAATCCGTATACATGTAACAGAAGGAAAAAAGAAAAAAAATCGTGTGTCCTTAAAAATAAAAGATAATCTTAGTTATTAATAAATATTTTCAGCTTTAAACGACGATGGACTATCATGAGGTGTATGCTGTTGTGATGAACGATTGGAATATCTCGTTTGTGAATTTTGAACGAGTGGAATAGATGGACTAGGATTCGATGAATTACGACCTGGTGTAAGAACTCGTTCTTGTCGGTAAGCCGGTGTATTTGATGAATGTGATACATGCATCAATGAATCAATATTTGATAATAAATTTGTATTATAATCGGAAGAATTCTGTTGAGTATAATTGTTTATTACACGCATTAATTCTTCACTAGGTGGTGGTAAATCATCAATACGATCAACAATACGCACATTTCCATCTCTTTCGTGTGCATAATAACTTGCATATTGATTTGGATCGACACGAAAGACACCTTCTTCAATTACACGTCGTACTGTATAAGCTTTTAATGGTTCATATTCAATAATAACATTACGTGTTGGTTTCATTGGTGGTAATGGCGGAGCTTTTTCTAATAAAATAGGACGTTTGACTTTTTTGTAAGGTAACCATTTTTCAAATATGACTGTACGAGGTTTAGGTGGTGGAGTTGGTAAGCGTTCGATTATTATTGGACGTGGTGGTGGTGGAGGTGGTGGTAAAGGTTTATCGATGATACAAGGTCTTATGAAATCAAAAGAGAAAAGAAAAGATAAATGAAAACAAAAAACAAAATTGTTTTAATTTTTACTCTAGTGGTGGTGGTGGAGTTGGCGGTCGTTCACGAATAGTTAATGGTGGTGGTGTAACTGGTTCTGGTTTTCTTTCACGTATGAGAAGTGGCTATGAAGAGACAAAACAAAATGGTCATTAATAAAATATGAAGAATTTCTTTCAGTCTTACCGATTCTGGTGGCTTTGGAGGTAGTTGCTTTTCTCGAATAATAATTGGTGCCGGTGGTGGAGGTGTAGGAGGTTGTAAATAACGAATACGAATTTCTTTTCGATAGACAAGATTTTCTGCATTTGGTTTAATTACTTTAACAGGTGGATTATCAATTGAATTAATCTTATTGAAATAATATTCGGCATTTAAATTTGAATCATGTGTAGAGGTATTAAGCGGAGGATATGAAAGAGATGGAGGTGGTGGTGGTGTTCGTCGTGAAGAAGATCCTTGTTGCGCCATATCGTTTGGTGATTGTGGTTTAGATCGTTGACGATTAATTACTGGTGGTGGAGGAGGAGGTTGTTGAACGTATGCAAGTGGTCGATCTGATGTATTTAATGATTGTATTTGAGAATTTGAGGTTTGTGTTTGTGATTTGAATAAAAAAGGAGGATGATCAGATGATAAATCTTGTGATGATTGAAAGAGATAATCAGTGGGATCGAGACCGAATTCGGTAAGTATTTGACTAACTTTATCTCGATCTGATTCTTTTGCTGTGTTTTTGTCGCACGATATGTTTTTATTATGCGGTTGTGAGCTGAAGTGAAACCAAAAGTAAAAAATATCAATCATAGGAGAAAAAAAGAGGAAGAAAAAAAACACCATCGATAATATTATTTGTGGTTTTGGTATGGAGAAATGGAAAAAAACAAATATCGACGTTATTGATAACATGAGACAAAATCAATGTAGCGAAACTAGACATGATTACATAGTGACAACAATATTCATACATATATATAAAATGTATGAATCATTTTCTTGAATAGCTTCTCAAATCAATGAATCTCACTTGATTCTAATAACAACAAACGGATTGAATCAATAGATATAAATGACCTTGGTCGAAAAAGAAAACGGAAAAAGCTATCATTGCTGTTAATTGTAATGTGCAATATAAATTTTATATATATAACTGTATCATAACGAAACAATTTAGTAATAGATGAAGGACAAAAAAGTAATTACAAAAAAATATTTTGGTAAAACTACGTATTGAGTAATACGAATGTTTATTTATGTACATGTTGATATTTAGTGAAAAAATAAAGTAATTCACAATGCAAATTAGCAGTTGTTTATTCAACTATTCTTCGATTTAATTAGTGAAACTTATTTCTTCATTTTATACGCTCCAATAATGAATTTTTGTGTATTTGAAATTACTTGTTCGTGTCTGTACAATATTTTTACGAACTAAAGAGTGATCGAAAAGTTTTGAATCTTTCCAATAAATCAATGATAAACCTATATAGTGAGTGATTGATTGAAATATGTAATTTTTTTGGAAGAAGACTAGCGCTATCATATAAAAAAACGATACTTCAAAAAATGCATATATACAATATTCATTTTACTAATCTTGAGTGAATATTTTCATCTAATATTTTTTGAGCAGAATTAAAACAATTTTTAACGAAATATCTAAATGATTAATAAACTTATCGACTTAACATTTTGTATAAATATTAATAATGAAATTTTGTGAGGCGTTGAATTAATTTTTAGAAGATTGCTTTTAACTTTTTTGGAATAAATCCCTCATCGAAATAGAAGCTCTCGGAGCTTTTAAAATGTCCAAGTGTTCAAAAATCTGATGAAACAGGTACGCAGACAACGCTTAGCAAAGACTAATATAATTGTATCTGCAAAGTTTTGCTCGAAAAATTGAAATTGTCTGGACACTAAAGAAGTCTCGGTACTTCTAGTTTACTGTTAATCATTTTCTTAGAGTTTTCTACGTTAGAGAATAAATTGGAAAAAGTAAACTTCATAAAATAAGACTGTCAATATGAAGTGTTAGAAAACTGCAATCATAATTAGCAAATATGATGATGAGTATTATTCCGTTAAAATTATGTCTAATTAAAAAAAAATTCTATGAATATATCGATTCACTCAAAGAAATTGAAACTTTTCAACCATCGTTTATTGTTCAAGTATTTTATTTCTATTGAAACGATAATAATTTCAAAGTTTTATCAGAAGTAAAATATTTCTTTATAATTCAAAATTTTTTCAAATTGAATATCATATCGTATTGATGAAAGTTTAATTTAAATCCGAATAATTGCAATTTTATTATATCATACAAAATCTATATTTAATAAAGCTAAAAACATTTATCTTTCAATCACAACACATTTTAACATACAAAAATAAATTATAACTTACGTTGCCATGCTTTAAACAAATAATAACTATTTGTTGTTGATATATGTAATACTACTGTTTTTTTTTGTTGATGTAACTACATGCAAAAGTTAAATATAATAAAACTAAAAGTTCAAGTACATTTTTTTGTATATATAACAAATTTTTCGCAGGCAAGTGTAAAATAAAAATCACACATAAAAGTATTGAAGCATGACCGAAATTGTTCTACGAGCTCAATTGATGAAGCAAGCGAACACAAGATAAAAAAAGACGCATACTTCTTTATTCATATCGCTCAACTATCATCTCTATTCTTTCTATTGCTTTATTACTCTCATGGTTGAATATAACCTTCATACTTTATCAAAAATAGAGTTGCGTCAGTTTAGTCAATTTTTAAATATGTGCACAAATAGTTCACATTAAATTCACGATAAAATATAAAACAATTCAATTTAATAACATATAAAATTCAACTTTAAAATTGTTAAATTTAGTTGTTCTATTGAGCAATATAAATAACACATTATTATTTTTGCTTTGTATATCGTGTAAAGTGTCGAAACGTTTATTATAAAAATGTCTAATAATATATATGATAAATGAAATAGAAAATAGATAGCTATTTATATATATGTTAATAAAAACTGTCGTGTCTATAATCTTCTTGGTGCAAGGGCAGCAGGGTGATAACCCTGTGACTTGACATATCTATTACGTATCAAATAATAAGAAACAAAATAAATCAGTAGTCGTAAGCTTATCTTTTATGAAAGCAATAAAAGAAATTGATTTTCGACACTCTAATATTATTAAACAAAAAGAAAAGTGTTAAACTACTAACAAAACTAGGAGAAAAAAATAACATGATGTCTATCATGATTATAATTGCTTATTTTTAATCATTAGCTTTTCTTTTAAAGTATTTTTCTATTGCTTGAACAATATCATATCCAGTGATGTTTTTCAATAATTTTCTAAGATCTTCCAGAACTTTTTTAAAAAATTGACGAATATTTCGAAGATAACCGTCAAATTCATTTTGATCATCATATTCATCATCATTTCTTGGTGTTGTGACTGTTGATGTTCTTAGGTCCTAAATAAAGCAAAATTCATTTTGAAATCATTATTTTTTTAAAATATAATTACCAGCCATGATATTGCACTTATTGATGACCTAGGAGGTCTTGTTGAACTTTGAGTTGTTGTTTCATCGATAATCTTCTCCTCAAGCGAATCACTTTCATCATCACTATAATAATCTTGTAGGACAAGTGAACGATCAGTTGATGATGACTATCATTCGAAAAATCAAAACGATTAATATTAAAAATTTAAAATAGAATTCAATGTACCGTTGGGGCCGATTGTGCTATATAAATAAGAGCCAAAAATGCAAAGATGAGTAATAGTTTCATGATAAACTATTTGATATTACTACAATCTGTATGTTTGAAAGAGATTCTTTTTTTTCCTGTCTATTTATATCAACAGATGACAAATCAAAACCTAATGCTATTTTCTTGTTTTGTACTATCGAGATATAGAAGTAGATGCGTGACAGATAACGATTACTGTTTCCAAGAGTTAACGGGTACCAATATTTTGTTTTTGCGTAGTTAGTAAATAGAAGATTATTCATAATGTAGAAGAAATATCAGCGAGTATTTCGTTTGTTCTTTCAAGATTTATTCATATTGTTTATATTCTGCTTTAATAATAAAGAAAATTCAATATTGAATAGAGTTGACTTAACCAAAACTAAACACATAATTAAATGTAGTAATCTATGCATGGAGTAAATCTTAAAATTTTCCCCATAATTTAGATTCATTTATTTCAATAAAATACATAAAAATAAAACGATGAATATTATAGAAGATATATAATAAATCTAATAATGTCATTATATAACGTATGGTAACCGTTTATTTTTGAAAGAAATCATCAATAATAGCAATATAGTAGTAAACATTTCATAATCGATTTGAAATTTTCGACCTTGTTGATTAAGTACGATGACTCTCATCACTCGTAAGTGTAGGTGTGATTATTCAAGTTTTCGTTTAAACTCACTTATTGCTGTAAGCTACTTCCTTCCGATTTCAATGATTTTTTTGCTTATAGATACTATATAGTGTTCTAATCAACACTGGGTTCCTATTGATATTTGGCTAAGCTATCATTTTTTGATTTGAAACTTTGCATGCATAGAGAACTTAACTAGACAAGCTTTCATGACAAATTCACAAGTTTTGAATTTTTTAAAGGAAGCTAATCTAGTTGAGTTTTCTATATGAACAAAGTTTCAAATTAAAATTCGAAAATATAAGTTTTTCGAGAAACTGAAGTCTCAAAAAAATAAACATATTGAAAATTCGATAGCTTAGTAAAATATTAATAGGAACCTAGTGTTTATTAGAACACTATATAGTATCTATAGGCAAAACGCCATTGAAATCAGAAAGGAGCAGCTGAAGAGGTATCATGGTTAGTCAAGATTGTGTCCATTCGTAGATGTTTATGTTTTATAGATAAAAATTGACCTTTTGTTCTTATAGTTTGATTTCTAGCTGTTACTGCTTGTTTTGTAATAAAAAGGTACCTAAGGTAATGTCCTACAGAAGTGATATTAAAAAATGAACCTTTCTCACAAGTGCTTTGTTTTGTTTAATGTATATACTCTTCGAACTTTGCTTTTTCAAACAGAACATGTTGAAGTCAATTTCATGTTTTCATCAGTGTTGTTCATGTGCTCGTACTTGTTCTTTTTTTCTGTTCAATTGATGAAAGAAATAATTCTCTTAACATAATAGTTATAAATTTCGACGTATGAATAATAATTCATTTATTTTACTAAATTGTATCTACAACGATAATTTTATTTTTAATTTAAGACTGTCTCATGCTGCGAGAAACGAAATCATAATAGGATTTCTGATAGTATAACAGGAATCGAGAAAAGTCATTCCCACAGAACACTAACCTAAGGTCATAAGTGATGTGTTTAACGCTGATGATGGCCATACTTTATAAAAAAGGTCAAATATTCCAAACTGATTGTAAAATTATATTAAACTTTATTATCAGATGTTTTCTTTTTTGTTCGTTAACAAAGTTGAGTAATTATTGCATCAATATTAGAACGAAATCAATTAATTGATTTCAAAATGACAGATGATTCTTTTATCTGTAGTATAATATTAAGTCTTTTTTTAATTTATGATTATTAAAGTGAAATTCATGTTTTCTTTTCTTTATATTGTCGTCTGATGAAACCTGTCATGTTTTGTGCACTGTGCCAACAAAAAAGCAAATTTTGTTCACTTTGAAAAAAATTATATAAAAAGCATTAATGTCATTGGCGAAACTCTAAATTGTCAATTTTATTATTAATTTGAATATGAAACCGAAAATTAGCAATCAAGGACATTTTTCATGAATGAGATATAAAATAATATAAAAATATTTTGTCTGATTTTTTTTTTGAAAAAGTGACATCTGGATTCCAAAGTTTATTTTCCTAACAACAAGCGAAATAGCTGATGTTGTTGACGTGGATTATTCCATCATGAATGAAAAACAAACTTAAAATTTACATTTTTAACCTAATAAGCATACAGACTATATAGTCACATTAAAATTTCAACAAAATAAACGTCATTCTGAAATGGAATAAAAATCAAAATTTAGAAAATTCGTAAGTTATAAAGACCAGTTTTTTAGAATTATCATCGATAGATTCGAACATTGATATTTTGTATATGAAACGCATTTTACATCTGATAGTGATTTTTTTCGAAACTATTCTGATTCGTTATGATTTTGACAAATAGTCCTGTATCTTTTATGTTGGGGTACTTGTTTGAAAGAGTATCAAATTTCCAGAAACTCATAATTATATGATAAAACTAGAACGAAGTGTGATGATTAATATAAAATTAGTTCTATGCTATTATAATTTGTAAATAATTTGATATATCATACACAACAGAAAAGTTCATAACTTTTTTTTTCTCACATAAATAGCCTATAGTAATAACAGAATGACCCATTAAGATATAAATAAGTAATATTACAATGTTTCGCTCATTTATTATAATACCAAACATCATCTTTTCTAAATTTATTTTATTAAAGATCTTATTACTCGTAAGAAAAAGAACAGACTCATGTTAATTATTCCTCTCATATTGATGATATTTTCATCATCATTCGTATTCGGTGCTGATCAATTCGAAGATTATCGTTGTAAATGTGTTTGTCCATCATTAACTGTTTTACAAGATCCATTAGTAAATGAAACACATCGTCATGTATATATCGATGTTGTTCCAGCAGATAATTGTACATGTTATCGTGTTGTGTTTAATACTGTAATAGCAACACAAAATTTTCAAGATCGTTTTTGTCCAAGGTAAAATATTTCGTTTCATGGCATAAGGAAATATTTGATTTTTTGTTCTGTTATTCAGATGTGTTTGTAATTATGAAGTACGAAATACAACAACCATGAAAGTAAAAATGAAATAATGTTTTTTCTTTGAAAATTTTTCTTCTATTTTTTTCAATTCATTAAGGTTGTTGTTATTATTATAATGGTTGCCATATCATTATTATTTATCTATATGATATTTTTACTTTGTCTTGATCCAATAATGAATCAACGTACAAAACCAAAACCAACAACAACAACAACTCAACCAATAAGACAATATGAAAGACAAAGAAGTGGTGCTCAACATAATCCAACACAAGAATGTGTATTTAGTGAACCAGCTGAAGGTGAATTACAACGTAATAGGCGTTCATCAGTTGTATTGCATTTAGTTTCACATGAACAATCAAAATGGAGAAAACAAGTATGAAATTATTTTCTAATATTTGAGACGTGAATTGATTTCGTTTTTTTAGGTTCAACAACAACAACAATCAGTATACACTAATCATGAATTGCTTAATTGATTTCTTCTTTTTTCTTTTTTTACCGTTTATGTCTTGTCATTCCATATACCTAATGCCTTTGATCATTTTTGTTGAAAAACTAAACAGTTTCACACTTGCATTTTCTAATGAATCTAGTTTAGATAAAATAAATGAATCTATATTTTATTTTTTTATAAGTAAATTATTTAGTTTAGTATAAATAAATTGGAAAATGCGAAAAGAATTATAATCATGTTCGAGAGAAAACTATTCTTATTAAAAAATCTGCCATTCATTCAATCGATTCACCCTACTTTGATCGAAAGTAAAAATGTCGAAAGGTAAAAATGTCGAAAATAAAAATATCGAAAACAAAAATAATAGAAATATCGAAAGGTACAAATGTTGAAAATGATAGTGTTTGGGAAAAGAAGTTCTTTCACCCTCATTCTAATTCTTACATCCACATTAAGATCCCGTATTTTTGCTTTCGACATTTTTATTTTCGACATTTTTATCTTTCGATATTTTTACCTTTCGACCAAAGTAGGGTTTACCATTCAATCGAGAATAGTCAATGGATCTTTATGTAAACTTAAACAGCTTTTATATACCATAGTTAATAATAGGAGGTCTTTTTATGTGTAAGATTCAATGTCACGATAATAGCAAGTGATCGTAAAAGTAATTTTATAAAATACAGAGTAATTTTTTAACCTCTTAAAGTAGATCGTAGAAGTTTCAAAATATTTGAGTTTCAATCCAAATTCTTTTTTATTTCTGAATAAAGGTTCAATGTTTCTTTTGAATTTCTAATTGAAAAGTTAGGAATCAACCTTTTAGAGACGTGAAAATTAATTTTAAACAAACGACAGTGATATTGTTTGCATAGATTTGTAGACGAGATTGTTCTCTACAAATCGATACAAGAATTAATTAAATTGGCACAGTATACCTTACTAAAATACTCAGTATTAACAAATGCTTTGCAGAAAACTAATCATTAGTATACCATTTTATAGAGAAATGTTTGCTCTTTTATTTGCTTTATTTGAAACAAATTTCGCTCATACACCATAAGTTCTACAAAAATTTTCAGGTCATATTTTAACCAAATGCTGTCATTTCTACATGCTCCTTCAAGAGGCTGAAAAAAGAACGAACATTTCGTCCGATTGCTTTTCGATAACGCGTTAATTGTCACAAAAAATAAGATTTCTTTTTGTATATCAAATAAATTATCTAAAATATCAAGATCTGTTCTTATGAATATTCTTAGCACCAAGGGCGGGTATGGGTGCTTATTGAAGAGATTATCTTCATCCAAGTCGAAAAAAAGTGAGTTTTTACACGTCAGGATGTATCCGAAAGACTTCCTTTCTCCAAAAATAAATCAACAGTTTTTTTGCTTTCAATTTTTTTCCTGACAATACAATCACAAACAGTATGGCTTCACATAAATAAAAAACATGCCGTATTTTGCGACATTTTG